TGGAGCCCTGGGTGGGGCGTCCCCACTGTCCTACATGCTGTGCTGGCTCTCTGCAGTGGCCGGGGCTCTGGCTGACCATGAGGGCACATGGCTGCTTTAAGCACCCCACAGCCCAGTGGGCCGTGCTGCAGCCCTGTCCTTCCTGCAGCGTGGGTGACACCCCCACCCCGAAGCTCTGCACGCTGGGGATGGGTGTGACCAGGGGCATGGTGCCAGCAGCAGATGATGGGTGTGCTCAGCCTCTGCCCACCTGGGGCAACCCCACTGGGAGGGGTGGGGACAGCAGGATCAGCAGTGCTCTGGAGGAGCTGTGGGGGCCCTGAGTGAAATCCTGTGTTTGCTCTTTGCCTCCCAAGTTCTTCTGCTGCGGGAGGTCCCCAAGAGGGCCTGGGGCTGAGGACAATGCCCGCAACGAGATGCTGAGCAACAGAGACTCTTATTCCTCCATCGACTCTCAGCAGAAAATGGAAATCGAGGAGCCAGAAGTGCTGGCAGGTGTCACTGTAACATCTCCAGGGCAGTCAGAGCGTCTGCTGGTGAGTGGGGTCGGCTGTGCTGTGTCCCAGTCCTGCTGCTGGCCCAGGACTTTGTAGGTACAGGGCGAGGACGGTGCCTCTTCTGTCCTGACCCAGGGTAAAGCGGAGCCTTAGGGACAGAGGGACCGTAGGCAACAGGGAGCATGAGCCAGAGCAGCCGCCCCAACATGATGACCACCCACTCTGCGGGGCCTTCTTCTAAGTCCCTGTCCTGTTCTGACTGTGTCCCCAGAGCCTGGAGCGGTGCAGGCAGCGAGGGTGCCCAGGGTTTGTCGATGACTGAGTAAGGGCGGCCTGATCTCAGCTGTGTGCTCCTAGCAGACTCGGGGAGCCCTTGCTCCTGACAGCAGAAGCGTTAAATTGCCTCCAAGAGTATTAGTACATTGAACGTATTTGAAAGTAAATTCTTTTCCAGATTTCTGATCATGTTTGTAGGGAGGCCTGCAAGAAGTAGAATTGCTGAGTCAATGTGTGGAAGTGCCTTTTTCTTTCTTTTTTGTTTTTGTTTTTGAAGCATGGTCTTCCTCTGTCACCCTGGGCTAGGGTGCAGTGGCGTCATCATATTTCTCTGCTACCTCAAACTCCTGGGCTCAAGTGATCCTCCTGCCTCAGCCTACTGAGTGGTGGGGACTATAGACTGTTAGCCACCATGCCTGGCTACTTTTTCTATTTTTCTAGAGAAGGGATCTCTTGCTTAGGCTGTTCTCAAACTCTCAGGCTCAAGCAATCCTCCTGCCTCAGCCTCCCAAAGTGCTAGGATTATAGGCACGAGCTCCCATGTCCCTCCTGGAAGTGCTTTTTTATTGTATACACTTACGCACACACATCCAATTATTGTTCATATCAATTCATCAGTCTTGATGTGATATTGAGTAGTAGTTAAAGCAGTGTATATACATTTAAGTTTTCATTTTTCTTAAGCTTAGAAAATCCGTCCAACATAAAATGAAATTATCTAGTTTCTTACAGTTTTGTTTTTTAATAATTTTATTTTTGGCATGAAGCAATGGAAATGGAATTTGGTTTTTGATCCGATATGAAGTGGTAAGTTGTTCTGAGTGTCTGTCTCCTTGCTCCAAGTCCACTGAGCAACTGACTCTTCCATTTCCCTCTGCCTTTGGAGCCTCCCTTGCTGCTTGTCAAATGTGTACATGGACCATGATCTCTTCCACCCAGGCGGTTTCTTTCTGTTCCTCCCTTGGGTCTATACCGCATTCTTTGTTAAATAAAGAGAAGGTATTACTTTTCTATGCAAGTCCATAGAAAAGAAAATATATATGTATAGAGGCAGTCCCTGGGGTAGGGATGACCTGTCGTACAGCGTTCCTTACTTACGAACTTAATTAAAATAATTAAATTAATAATTGAAGAACTAGTTTCTTCCACGCATGTCAGACCCGCATGGCATGAGCGGCCCATTGGTGCAGCTCTTTACAATAGCAGCTGGTCTTATGTACCTGGTCACCTATGCACAGCGTCTCTTTCGTCTTTTTAACTTGATTTTGTGAATCTTTGTTTACCCCGATGCCCACGGCTCCAAAGCAAAAGCTCACTGCAAGTGAGCCTGCAGGAAAGAGAAAGGTGATGACGACAGAAACAAAAGTAGAAATAATTACGTTTTGGAGCAAGGCCAAGACACCATCATTCATAGGGAAAGAATTAGGCTTCCATTGCTAGACTATTGGGACAATTATAAAGTGAGGATCATGGGACGTGTGAAAGGCAGTGCCCCAGCGAAAGCATCAGTTATTGCTACACAGCATAGTGGATTAATTACTGAAGTGGAAAGGTTATTATTGATTTGGTGAGAAGACCAAAATGAGAATGAAATTCCTATTAGCCTAGGAATTAAAAGAAAAAGCACAATAGTTTCTGTAACTTATTATTAATATTACCATCCAGGGGTATTATTAATATTATTATTACTACAGCATTACAGTGCATTATTATTACCACATATGAGCCATTATAGTAATGTTATTAGTATTATTATCAAGAATGTGCTGGTATTAAGGCATCTGAGTTACAGACAATTCCAACCCAGAGACATTCTCAGGAACATATCTCATCCATAACGCGAGGACTGCTTTTATATAAAAGAGGAGATATAAAAAAGGAAACAAACAAAAAATGCAATTAATTCTTCCATATGGATTAATTACTTTGAACATTTTTTAAAATTGGTTATAGCATAGCCACACTTCCACCATAGGACAGAAAGAAACTTGTCATAGCGAGATTCCCCCGAACTCTTCCTGTAGCTCCCGACTTTTTTATTTCAGGTAACTACAATAGACAATTTTCTGTGATTCTTGAGTAAACTTTTTATGCAAATACCATCTATATACATACATGCAGATGTATATCCATGTGCTTTATTGACATGAAAAGGGTATATCACATACAATACCTAATGAAACTTTCTAGTATGTATTAATACCTAAGAGAGCAAAGACCCCTTTCTTACTTTTTCAGAATTAATTATTTTGACACAGAGAAAATTTAGAATTATTTTATAAGATTTTCTCCAACACCTCCAAAAAAAATCACTGGACTTTTAAAATATTACCTTAATAAATTAATCTAGGGAAGATTGACAGCTTTTCAATATTTAATAGTTCTCTTATCAAAGAAGATAGTATTTGAGGTCAAGTGTTGTATTATGACTTAGTCAAGATTTTTGAATTTTTTTTTTTTCAGATAAACACTCCTAGTCCTTGTCAAAGTTTCTTTGTATTTTGGGTCTTTTTGTAATTCCATTTTCTAATTTATTGTGTCTACTATGTGTTTTAATGTTCATCTGGACATATAGATTTTTAAGTATTGCTGTTTAAACCTTGGGGCTTTTTAAAATATGCAGTCCTATCTAACATAAGGATTATTGTGTTGGGCTCTTCTAAGAGTTTTGCTGTCTTGATTTTCTTTCCTGTCTTGATGCCAGAACTTTCAGAACGATGCTTGCCCTGAAAATGACAAGTTGCTGGTGGCACAGCCGGCTGGCTGTCAGGCGGAACTGGAACCCAGGATTCCTGACTCCAACCCAGGGTGTCCCCACAGCCTGTTCCCGGGACAGGCAGGAGCTGAAGGTTCTCACAGGCAGAGGCTGCTGGTTCCAGCAAACGGCGCCGACCCCACTGACGGTAAGTGTTCTGTTCCTGGTGATGCAGCAGGAGGACGGGGAAAAGGGACAGTGTCCCAACTGCCGTCCCCACAGCTGATAGGGCTCTTGCAGAGCATTCAAGGCTGGAAGCAGGGGAGCCTTTGCTATTGTCACTGGACCCTAAATGCCCCTCTGCCACATCTTCTAACCCCCACTCTATCCCACCCTCTCTGCACCCTAAGGAGGACCCTAACAACTCTGTCTGTGCCCTCGCCTGCCTCCTCCCTCCTCCCTTGTTCAAGGGCTGGTTCAGCCCCCCAAGGGCTGCCCTGCACAGCACCCACTGGCCCCAGGAGGTGACTGAGCACTCGACCTGTGTCCAGGCCCAGTTTGCTGAGCTGCAGTGGTGTAAATTGCAGACAGGATTTCAAAGATTTGATGCCAAAAAAAAAAAAAAGGAAAATATCTCACTGATCATTTTTATACATTAATTGCATTTTAAAATTATATTTTATATATATTGAGTCAGTACCTTACATTAAAATAATATCACTTATTTCTTTTCATTTCCTTTAAATGAGACTGTTAGAAAACACGGCGGTGTGCAGCGCCTCTGCACACATATCTCGCTTAATCCCCACACAGGCTTGGGCTGGGTGGGGTTGCTTTGTTCTAAGGTTGACTTTTTGCTAGAGTCTGTCGCCCTGCTTGGCCCTGGGCTTTTTGCAGGTGCAGGCTCGGTCACCCTGGGACCAGCCCCCGTGACATGTGCAGCCCAGCAGCTTCCCTCCTCTGAGTCGCTGCTGCACCCACTGTCTGCCCCACCCTCTTGTACCCCACGTTGCTGTCTGCCTCCACAGTGTCCCTCCATCCTCCCCAGGGGGCTGCAGCCCTGCCCGAGGGCAGGATTCTCTGGTGACCTTGAATTCCACCCTCCCCCAGCACCTTGGGTGCAAGTGGGGCCCCAGCTGGGTAGGTGAGGTTTTTGTGGATGGGGAGCAGGTCGGGACATTGGAGCAGCAGGTCCCCCCACAGGGGAGCTCAGGAAGTTCTAGGGTTCTAGGCCTGATGCAGGATCCTCTGCCCTTCCTGGACTGAGTCTCCACTCACCTGACTATCTCTGTGGCTTTTCTCCACCTAGCTCTGAGGCAGTCCTTCGACTACTTCACACATGTGCCCTTTCACTCCTGGAACCGGTTCATGAGGCGGCTGCGACTGACGGAACTTGACATGGAAATGGCCAGAGTTTCTGCATCCTGCCCGGAGGAGACCTTGCACGAAATGCTCATGCGGTGGCTCAGGATGATGGGGCGGAAGGCCTCAGTGAACACCCTGCTGGAGGCCTTGGGCAGTCTGGGAGAAAAACATGCAAGGGAGACCATCGAGGCCCACCTGGTGAACTCCGGGCAGTTCATCTATCTAGAAGATGAGGCAGGCCCTGCTCTGTCCTAATTGTGAAAGACTCTCTTAGAAGCTCTCCGGAGCTTCCCTAGTTTACATTTTCTTCTTAAGCACCGTTGGACAACAAGCCTACGGCAAGCAGACAAAATTTCACATGATTGGTGCTTAAAGAAACTCTCATGTCCTAGAACTTTTTCAGCAATTCTTTGTTTTGTACAGTTCTAGGTTTGTGTGTGTTGTGTATTATTTAAGTATGTCATTCTTCTTCTGCTTATGACACTTTTTTTTTTTTTCAGACAGAGTCTTCCTTTTTTGCCTCTACAGGCTAGAGTGCCGTGGCGTCAGCCTAGCTCACAGCAACCTTAAACTCCTGGCTCAAGCAATTCTCCTGCCTCAGCCTCCCGAGTAGCTGGGACTACAGGCATGTGCCACCATGCCTGGCTAATTTTTTCTATATGTAGATTTTTAGTTGTATAGCTAATTTCTTTCTATTTTTTTTTTAGTAGAGATGGGGTCTCGCTCTTGCTCAGGCTGGTCTCGAACTCCTGACTTCAAGCGACCTCCCGCCTCAACCTCCCAGAGTGGTAGGATTACAGGCGTGAGCTAACACTCTAGGCCTGCTTATGGCACTTTTTCACTTTTTCATTTCAAATTGCACTTTTTTACATCTTATATTTTAAGACCCATACATGTTATTAATAGTATGTAAGTATTTACTTATGTAGTGTTTTATATGATATAGTAGTGTTTTATATGATAAATATTTATTTATTTATAGGTTATGGATGTGAGTAAAGACTCAAGGAGAACTATATCCATGTGGATCCATATGTGGAGTTGGCCCATGTCCTGGGAAGTCATGTTTGGATCCCCCTTGTGGGAAGGATGGCATATGAGTTAGATCAGATGTGGCAAATAGGTTCTATGTCATGTCCCATTACCAGGGAATGGCAGTGACCTTGAGCTTTATTTGGGCTTAGGAGAGAGAGGACAAGGATCTGTCAATGTCTGCCATGGTCCCAGGCAGGAAGCGTGGATGGTGTTCAGGAATAGTGTGAAATGTTTGCCAACTCAGGACTCCTTGGTCCCTCTGACTTCTGGTGGCCTGTGACACTGAGCCCTGGAGCTGCATTTTGAGGTGCAGATTCCCTATTTGAGGAGCTCAGCCCCTCTGTAAGCATCTGACTTCTGTATAAAATACTTAGCACAGAAATGCCAATTCTTACCACTGTGGCAACAGGGCCTAAAACAGCTGACACACCCAGGCTTTCTCCTTGTGTCACTTTCTCTCTCCCTCTTTTTTTTTTTTTTTGAGACAGAGTCTCACTCTATTGCCCAGGCTAGAATGCTGGGGCATTCTGAAACTCCTAGGCTCAAGCGATCCTTCTGCCTCAGCCTCCCGAGTAGCTGGGACTACAGGCATGTGCCACCATGCCCGGATAATTTTTTTTTCTATATGTATTTTTAGTTGTCCAGATAATTTCTTTCTATTTTTACTAGAGATGGCGACTCGCTCTTGCTCAGGCTGGTCTCGAACTCCTGACCTCAAACGATCTGCCTCCCTCAGCCTCCCAGAGTGTTAGGATTACAAGTGTGCCTGGCCCACTTTCTCTTTTTTATAAAAAACCTCAGCAACCATTTCAGTCCTCTTTCCAGCAAACTCTTCTCCATAGTCTTGCAGCCATGGAAGCACTATTTATGGAGGCTGTAGTTCTCAGGGGTTTTGGTCTTTTCCATCTCAAAGCCTTGCATGTTTGTTCCAGGGCTGCAGTGGCAGGGCCCAAGCTGGAACTGCCTGAAGATGTAGGCACATTTCAGGGTATCGAACCTGTGGAATTTTTGGAAAGGGTGGCCCCCCTGGGCTTCTCATTCACAACCCTCTCCCACGTCCGCCCAGGGTTCCATGTGCTGCCCACTACCGGAAGGTATCGGATAGTCCCACCTCCTGGTCTTTGGCTTTATGGGTCCTTCTGTGCAGACTGCTCTGCCCTCATATCTCAGGGAGCCACCCAGCTTTCAGCCCCGGTCCCTTTCTCGTAGGACTTCCTTATTAATTTTATCAGTGTTTATAATACTTTTTATCCTTTTAAAATAAACTGTGACTACATGAAATCGTTTGGGGTCTTTTGTTTGTTGGTTTGGTTTTGTTTAATATCCAGGCCAAATAGCACATGCCACAGGAGAGGCGCTTCACAGTGTTTCCTTTGCGGTTGGGTGTCCTTTGCTGCTACTGCTTGGCAGAAGGTCCCCATTGGAATCTGTGCTGGTGACAACTAAGCAATACAAAAGAGCCATTTAGATACAAAATATGAATGTATTTATGAATTCATGACCAAATTAAATATGAAACCTTATATAAAAAGAGGTGTGGTTTTTGCTGTTGATTTGGGGTTTTTTTGCCCCCATCCCCCCATTCTCTGAATCCGCTCCTGGGGACATGGGTCCAGGGGGCGTTCTTACTGTGTCTCACTATTTTCCTCCCCTCTGTGCCTTCAGGCTTTGCCCTGCACAGGGGTGTTTCCTGCTTCTGACTCCCTGGGTTTTAAACTGCCAGGTTCATGGGGACTGGAACAAAGCCCTTCCTTCCCTTCTGTCTCCCGCCTGCCCTTCCCTCTGGGCACAGGGACAGACAGCTGTGCTGGCCTGCCTCACCCATGGCCCCCAAGAGTGGTTCTCTGGGCTGCACTTGGGGCTGCTGAGTACTGCTCACTGGCTCTGAGAGAGCTGTTGGGAGGGGAGGTGGGTACCTGAGGGGTGAGCTGGCCCTGGCTGCTGGGGAAGTCCTGTAGCCACTCCCCTGTGGGCTCCTCCAACCCTCAGCTGACATTCTCATCAGTAGACCCAGCTTGCTCAGTCCTGCAAGCGCCTGGGAGAAACATTTCCCCTTGCCCTTGCACTTGAGGACCCAACAGTCCCTCTCTCCTACGGCACGCCCACACTGTGCCCCTCATCGGAGGGGAAGGTGCAGGATGCTGCACTGGGCTGTCCCCCTAAAGCTTCCCTCCTGCCCCTGCCCTCCTCAACCTCGCTTGAAGCCCTGGCCAGAGCTCAGCTGCAAGGACAACCAGCCTGTAGAGGGCAGTCCACGCCTGGCTTCCCAGCCAGCCACCCTAGAGGACCTGGCAGCCACAGACTCTCCTGGGCTTGGACAACATGGATTCACTCCATTGCTAGACCCGCTTGTCCTTCCACTGCCTGTTCTTCCTCTTGATGAGGATTTAACCTCAGATCTCCAGGTGTTGATGAGGATTTAACCTCAGATCTCCAGGTGTTGATGAGGATTTAAACTTCAATCTCCAGGTGTTGATGAGGATTTAACTTCAGATCTCCAGGAGTTGGCACCACCCATCCGCTGCAGAGGCTGCCTGTGCTCTATCCCAGACCCAACCAGCATTTTGCTGGGGAGCCCAACCAGGTCCCTGGGACCTAGTTGGTCCCCTCTCAGCTGAGCATCTTTCTTAGGTGAGGGGCCTCCTGGACCTACCCCTTCTCAGTGGGACCCCATCTTTTAAACCTAAAGAGGGTGTGGGGTGATGAAATACAGGGTCAGGGTTAGAAAACAGGAAAGGGTCAGCCATGGCCCAGCTTTTGCCCCATGGGGGCTGCGAGCTACTGAAGAGTATTTTTCATGTTATCTGGGTCTCAGCACTGAATGTTTAAGGATTTTTTAAGTCCTCACCGATTTTGTTTTTTTTTGTTTATTTTTTTTTTTTTTATTTCGATGAGTTTATTGGTGGTTTGTGTGCGACGGTTGGTTGGCTCCGCCAGGGGACTGCCCTCGTGAGCAGACTGAGCCGGAGTCCGTCTTGTCTCGTTGTGGCCACAGATTTTTCGAATGGAATTCGTGGTTTCGTGGTCTGTTGGGTGGTGTGCATTTCCACATGGACTACTCAATATCTCACTGGAGAAGTCAGGGTATAAACGAGCTCGGAGCCCGCTCAGGCTTTACATCCTGGGGTGCAGCTGCAAGGCCACCAGTGGAGGCCTGTGTCTGCCAGCGTCTCCGTCCAGGCTCAACATGAGCTGATGAACAGGGCCAGAGGTTCTTGGCGTCAGGGGGCCGGAGAGTACACCTCTTGATGCTTGGAAATCCCCCGCTCTTCACCCTCAGCTTGGAACAGGAACCAAGGCAACAGCTGGTAAGGCGAGAAGGCCAGGTCTGTCCATCTCCGTGTTCGTTCTCCCCTGTCTGGGTATCACATGCTTTTATAGGTGGGGCAAAATAGCAAAAAAACCAAACGAAAGGAAACAAAACAAAATTCAACAACCAAAACACTCTGTCCTCGTGTCCCTTCAAAGAATGAAACCAAAAAAGACCTGCATAGCTTACATTTTATAAAACAAGAGGCCCTGTGATGATGAGATGAAGGTTTAAGGTGTAGAATCAACTCCAATGCTTTCAGGAAAGACTTGTCACCTTCTCAGCTGAGGAATGCCGGGATACTTGCTGGCTGGCTCTCAGAACAGCACAGGTCCCGGCCTCGAATTGGGGCTGGTGCAGGGAGGGATTTGGTCTCAGCCTCAGACGCACTGGGCTCTTGCCTTTGTTGTCCTGGAGATTTGCAAGCACTACCCTCAACCTTTTAAAGGTCCCACACCTGCAGGCTTGTGTGTGTTGGGTTCGGCAGGATAGGAGAGAGGACCCCTTAATGAAGGTCACAGGAATAGTAGCCTTAGCTGCTCGTTTGGGACATAGAGGAATTCAACAGGAGATTGTAAGGTTCAGTGGCTCTAGAGGCGTAGAGGACCTGCGACTGAGGATTGTGGGGGTTAAAACAGGT